AATTAAGGGGGGTCAGAAGCTCTATCCGTGCCCTTAAAAACACATCCTCGAGTAGGCAAGCCGTTCAACGGGTGAAAATTTTACTTGTACTAGAGACAGCTTAGCTTCACCTTGTAGGAGTACCCCACTAAGGATCACTAAAATCTCTTCCAAAACCCGATTTTGTGCAATGAACGGTGCCACACACCAAAGAAGCAATAATGCAAGCTTAAACGATCAAGGAACAAAGGGGAAAACCTGTGCAAATATCGAGTCATCACCTACTCCAGTTCTGCTTCAATCTTTCCCACAGTAGCACTAGAACCAGCCTACGTAGTTACACAGCTTACTTAGTTTCAGTGTTTTAATGATGATAACAAGACCTCTATAACAAAAGCTAATGGGAAATGCCATCCATTACCATTCATCAATGGTTCTATTCAGTACAATGGGAGAGCGAAGACTTGAGTGCGCCACAGCTGTCGACATGGAAGCACCACTCTCTGGAGGTGCTTCAGCTGCATGGGGTGCACCGGCTCTGTACATCTTATGTTACTCCTTGCAGAATCCAACTTGAACTTGCTGCCTACATCATCATGAACACGCCTTCTCTGAAACAAGTACTCATCGACACCCGCGACCCAAGCTTAATTGGTTCTCCCGTAGCTGAATCCAGAACAGCCCATTGTGTCATTGATTTAAAGATAAGCGTATTCAAGAAGGAAAGAAATGGTGATGATGGTTACCTTGAACTTTTGCTCTCGGTAAGTTTGTTCAACAAGCACCTGCTTTGGTTCTCCAGAGGAAGGATCACAGAATCCCATTATCCCCGACTTCTTCACGCCCTTGTGAAGCTACATTGACCGAGTTTGACCAGAAATTTTCAGAATGCAGCTGTGAATAAACTGGGTTTTTTGGGCTGAAAATTTTAGTTATAAGACTGTACCTTCAGCTGCCCGGAATCATTGACTAAGAAATTAAGAGGAACTGTGACATCGATGAATTCTTCTGTTGTTGCGTCGCCATTTGGTATTGTCCCGTCTTGTTTTTCCAATGCTTCCCGACTTCCATAGACTGCTCTATCGATGAGCAGCCCATTTGCTTTTGAGACCCACGGCGCAGTTCAAATCTCCAAGAGATGCCCTGAGAGAAGTAAAAGATAGAACATCTTCAAATACGGTGGGAAACAAACAATTACCATAAAACAAGGCTACGTCGAATAGCTCATTGCAGCATCATGGTTTAGATGGTTTAATTCCCTCTGTACATTTTTCATGTGCGATGAAGAGTAAATATAAATTCATAGTCCTATGTTTTGGTACCTGAATTCCAATGACATACATCATCCGGACGGTGGTTAAATCAGATATCTTCCTCCCACCACCAAATTCAACCTCAAGAGTAGTACTGCAATCATAATAAAGAGGTGTTTTAATCAATAAGCTAGAGTAATCATTCGAATGATTCAAAGTAGCCTCGATGAATAGAGCAAGAAAAAATGACTCATGAACCAAATTGGCTTATGATCAAATTTGAAGACACAGCTTCCAAGAAGTTGTAACCAAACACAAGACAATAATAAATTTTATGGAGAAGAAGCACCAACTATTATAATTACAGCTGAAGCCAAACTATAAGTAATTTTTAGAATCATTCACACAAGCGAGAAGCAAGAATTCAAGCATCAGTTATGACTGCGAACTTGGTGATTTGAAATTCATTAAGAGCAACAACCTGTTGTAGTCCTGCAGGTTAAGAAGCGGCAGAGGAAAGGATAGGGAAACAGATAGAACTACCATAAATTTAGCCCCGTCAAAAGAAAGAGAACTAACCATTTCTAGAGAGCGAGAAATATGCAGCGGCCGCAGCTAGTTCGATGTTGCGCAGGAGGCACCTGCAGCTGCAGTCAATTCCCGTGATCGAAACCAACTGTAGTCCCACCGCCCGCAATGGCGGACCGCCGAATATGGCAGAGTCGAACAAAGGCGATAAAGAATAAATTAGCATAATGCACACAACTCCAATCACGAATAGAGACGCACAAAGAGGTACCTGATGTCCACTAGCCCCAAATCTCGCTGGAGGGTGAGAATCGTACTTGGCATAGGAACCAGTACCTTGATTGTCGAACTGCATCAATATGACGGAGGAGGGGAAGCCTTACTGTCAACGTCACTGGCGCATCATCTCCGATATCTCCTTGCATGAAAGCGGGTCGCCCATCTAGGCCATGGAGCCAGCCGGCTGGGCGGCGGTGATGTAGCCGACTATGAATTTCCTTCCGGAATCATGCAACCCGAGGAAGTGAACCTCCCGCTACGACTGTAATCTGCTTCTTAGCTGCTGGAGAAGGCTCCGCCGAAAACCAGGGGAAAGCAGACGGTGCAGATTGAAATCATGAATCAGTCCGGCAAAAACAAATCTGCAAAGGCAGAGTCGCCGGAGATAGAGCGGCAAGGGGATAAGAATGAGTTCGAGCTCGTTCGTGGGAAGAGAGAGAAATGGAGGAAGTGTAAGAATGGAGGGAAGGGGTCGTGATTTTGGTAAAAAAAACCAAAATTTCGTGAAATTTTACGGAGGGAAGGGATTGTGATTTTTTTTTCATTGGCGGGTAGAGACTTTTTCCTTGGAAAAAACCAATACAAAATTTATGAGCATAAATTGGGGGCTAATTTTAACCATTTTAATTATTTGATTCATTAACAAATATATTTAAATGTAGCCCAAAATTATATCACCAAAATTTTAATTATTTTGGACAACAAAAAGAATGGGTTATCGACAAATTAGTTGACCGCATCAAAATGCAACAATATACCTTCTGCATCTAATGTTACATGTGTTCTCTTTCAAGTATTATTGGTTCGTATCATAACTCAATTAATTGAATAGGATTCTATGCATAATCGAATAGGATTATTGGCTCCCTTTCAAGGATTCTACTGCCAAAGAAGATAAAATATACTAGTTATTTGGCCCATGCTTCGCAACGGAACGCCTATTTTATTGTTGTTGTGTAATTTATTTTTCACACTAAACATTTATACTATTTTCATTGTAATTGTTTTTTTTTTATCTTCACATACAATGAAATTTAATTTCACATAATTAAACTACATTGTCAAAAAAAAGCACTGAAAGTCCATGTTTAATACTAAAATATTTATAGTGGTCTACCAACACTAATAAGGTAATGGCTAACCGATCGATCGTTTTGATGCCCATATTTTCCGTTAATGGTGGAGTATTGTTGCAACGCTGGAGTCTCTAGTGGTACGATCCAGTATAAATACTGATAAGGTAATGGTGAATGAGTCGGTCATTCTAATTGAACCATCGACCATTATTTTCCATTGTAATGGCATACTTTAGTTGCAAGCAAGTGTGTAGTAATTCGCGAGTCAATCAATTGATTGACTTGTGGTTTAATAATTCTAATGTTGACCTGTCTCTCCTCAATACTCTTTACACTTTCCTTCGTTTATCAGTGACTTTAAGTTCCCTTTTAATGATTTGGTTGGAGCATGTAAATTATAAATCGACCACCAAAATTGGTGGGTTCGAGTGATATCGAGTTCAGCGATGATTCTTACGAATGGCCACAACCAAAATGTCATCAACTATTCAAAACTCATGGTTCTAATGACATTTAAGCTTCCACTAAACAAAAATTGTGGCATTAATACCGTGCTTGTCAAGTGCGTGTGAAAAGTTGCTCGTCTTCAAATGGGATTTAGCACTTACATTAGTAAGTTCACCGTCTGTGAGTTTTACGTGTGGCATTTATGGAATTAACAGTGTGAAATCAAATTTCAGCGGTCATTTTCCGATCCGTCAACGTTTTTGGCCTCGTGACAGGAACAAGCTAAAGACGAACTTGCTGCGCTGCCGTTTCATCATCTCCTTCTGAAGCCGAAGTTGCTGTGTTGCCGTTTCACCCTCTCCTTCTGAAGACGATGTTGCTACGCTGCCGTTTTCCCTTTACTCCTTTAAGCTTTACTTTCTTTTATACCAAGTCAAACTTGGTTTCCTTTCCAAGCTACCAAACAATGTCTATGAAAGCTTGTCTACTTGTACGTTGTTGAACCTATAAGAGGCAGATTCGATGAATGAGAAAACTAAGAACTAGGTTTTCAGTATTTCCATCTTGTTCCTTTGTTAGGAATCTTGAGCTCATCTTATAAGAGTCAATCCACAAACACAAGTAACGTCATTCAACCCGCTTCCCCCACCCCACCCCAAACCCTCGCCATCTTCTTCCTATGGTCGATTGAATGAAGACAAATAAGAAAATCAAGGTTTCATTGAAACCAAAACTAACAAATTCTCGGCATAACATAAAACCTAAATTCCCACCGACGCAGAACCTCTTCCTCGTTTGTTGTATGAACTGAGACGGATTGATCATAATTTAATTTACATCATTTAATTTAACATTTAACAAAAAGAACAATCAATCCGAAACCAATAAAAAAATCCAATTTCCAATTTCAATCCCACACTACACTGGTAGCTAACAGTAACATACTAGATCACTTCACAATGCAATAATTGGGCACACAGGAAAAAAAACTTTTATATAGCTTTATCCTAAAGTGGAAAACATTATAAAATCAGTTAAATAAAAATCAAAGCAAAAAAACAAAAAGATGGGGGAACTTAAAAATTATGATAAAAGTAATCTTCGAACGCCTGATTTGTACATCAAAAGCTTGAGCTCCCGCCACTACGTTATAATGTCCTCTACTTTTCCCTGATGGCAATGCCTACTATTATTAGTTATTAGTGTCTTCATAAATTTTCATGGTATCAATGCCGCTGCACTTGCTGCCCCTTTGTTCCCGCAAACTCCAGAAATCTGGTTTTCTTCCCCGAAGGCCAAAACCCACAAATCGCACATACATCGCCATAAATGCTCCTTTCCTACAATTGCATCGACGAAGTCTTTCTTTGGCGGGAGAGTAGGAGAGGCCAACGGCGATTATAAGACTTCTATCGAGTCGGAGATCTACCGGGAAGAATCACGCCGGGAAAAGTAACCAGTGGGAGAGGGAAGACCGGATCTCAATGGCATCGTCGTCGAGGTCCCCGGTACCGCTGGATTCTTCGTTCCGGTCGACGATAGAAGGAATCCTGAAAGTAAATTTACCTTCATCAATAATATCAGAAATCATAGGTAGAAGCCGGACAGAAATCAAGCTAAAAGTCCCTAGAGTGTAGAGGGATACATCGCCTTGATTTAGGTTAGGTAGATACCAAAACTTTGATCTACAGATGATAGGAGAATAGTGAAATCGTAGTATGTCCAAGGAGGTGATAGGGGATGGATCTTAATTATTTTAAAGTCCCTCACCTCTGATAAGGATGACGAAGTACATGCTGGAAATGGAGTAAACATGAACAGGAAAGGAAAAGAGGAAGGAAGTGAAATGGTTTGTGGGACCTTCTGGGAAAAGTAAATGAATAAAAGTTTGGTGACATTCAATATTTTACTTCTGCATTTTGAAAGAAAACGAAAACAATTGCACTATTTATTGTTGAAAAAATTTTGGGTGTTATAATTTATGAATAGCAATAGGTGGTTAAGCTCTCTTCCAAAATTGTCAATGTCCAATCCATGTTAGCATTAACAAAAAGAAACCATGAATCCAAATAAATTATACAAATATCAGTTTTCTAATCTAAGTCCCAATTTTGGCGTAATTCAAATGTCTATTGTTGATAGTTTTGAAGGAGAATTCTACAAGGGGCAGATATTTCACTCGAAACAAGCTGCACAGATGGCGATTAAACACCACGCACTACAACGCAACTTTCAATATGGCGTGGTGGAGTCGTCACCTTCAATCTGGAAGGTCAGATGCTTGAGGCACAAGGATGACAATTGTCCTTGGATGGTGCGGTTTGGATGTCGAGATGCTGGAGGCGAATGGACTGTGAGAAAAGCTGAGTTGGTGCATTCTTGTAGCAGTACGACTCAACCGACGGATCATCGCCATTGATGTCGACATGATATCTGAGGCCGTCAAACATTTGGTACGTGCCCAACCAAATCTGAGTGTTCTAACTGTGCAAGCTGAGTTGAAAGATAAGTTTAATATGCAAGTTACTTACAAGAAGGCTTGGTATGGGAAACAAAGAGCATTGGAGAAGTTGCATGGAAATTGGGAAGAATCCTACGATTTTTTGCAGACATTCTTGCGGGTAGTCAAGAGAAAAATGCCAACATCGGTGATTGATTGGGTAAGAGTTCCTTCGACTCAACCAGGTCATTTGATATTTCAGCGAGTATTCTGGGCTTATGGACCTTGTATAGATGGATTCAAGAATTGTCCGGGCGTCATGGTTGTTGATGGAACATTTCTTACTGGGAAGTATAAAGGAGTGCTACTCATGGCGAGCTCATTTGATGGTCGGAAGAAAATTTTTCCAATTGCATTTGCCATAGTGGAGAGCGAGAATACTGAGAGTTGGCCATGCATCATCTCAGATAGACATGCAGGACTCTATGAAGTCATGAATAACATCGGAAGAGGTTGGGAGTGGAGGTGGTGCATGCGACACTATGCAAGCAATTTGCAAAGGAAGACTAAAAGCAGAATTATGTATAAGCAACTATTTCGAGTCGGTAAGCCTTCTTCATTTAATTATGTTATTTATTTTCATGTAATTTTGTCATGAATTTATCTAACCCGTGTGGTTGTTTATTTTGTTAGCTGGAGAAAAACGGTTGGAGAAGTTCGATCGTCAAGTTGAGCAATTTAAGAAGGTGGCCAGTGATAGAAATATTTCATGTGATAACTGGGTGGATCAACATCAGATTCGTTGGAGTTTAGCACATGATAACTACAACGGTGGGCATCGTTGGTCTATGCTGACATCCAACATGGCAGAAAGCATCAATGGTGTTTTCAAAGGTTGCCACTACATAGCAAAAATTTAACGTTATTATCCCTAAATCTAAAAAAATAAAACAAATGAAAACTATTCTATAAAATGGAATGTTATATACTAACCACCACGGTGTCCATCGCGTCAAACCACAGCTTGTACTGGAATAGCTGGTCACCATACTGACGACTGCTGGCCGAAAGCCATCGAAGACCACGTGGATGTGCATCCTCGGTGGCCGGTGCCCTCGTCTCTGAATCTCGAGGTGCCAGATGTGGGAATCGCTCCCACGCCCAGAACTGCAGTAGGGCGACCCATCCACCAAGGTCACCGGCTAGAGAAGTGCCGGTATGCGAAATGTGCAAAGTCGACCTACCCATCTCACGGTACAGGTAGGATAAAACAGCAGCTCCCCAGGCGAACCCTCCAGCCCTCTCCCAATCCTCAATCAGAAGTAGGTACTGTAGGTGCACCGTAGATCCAGACCGATCCGGGAAAAGTACACCTCCAATCAGAGATAGAGCATAAGCTCGTGCAAACTGCTCTATAACCTCCTGTGATGCATCTTCCGGCAGATGGCTGAATTCAACCCTCAGCCAAACAATCCTAACAACACCGACCCCGCCTACAAGATCATAAGGAACCCGTCCTAACAGTCGCAAACAGATCGCCGACCACTCCTCATCTGGTATATCAACTACGACGGCATCACCGTCGATCGCCAAACCGGACAGTGTAACAACGTCCTCTAACGTGATCGTGATCTCACCACACGGTAGATGGAAGGTCGACGTCTCGGGTCGCCACCGCTCTACGAGCGCAGTAATCAAACTCGCATCGGGGTTCATAGGGACTAGGGGCACGACACTTAACAAGCCTGCCGCTTCGAGATATGGCCGATAAAGCTCGTGGTAAGGTACTAAAATGGTTGTACCTCGAACATGGTAAGATCGATCACCAGCCTATAGTGCACAAAACGTATATTTTTCATCTTCATTCGTAATAATTCTAATTTCACCTAATTAATTCTAATCTGTAATCATATTCTCTAACAGTACAGTTCAGTTCACCAACTAAAATAATCTAATTAGAATCATTCGTAATAATTCTAATTTCACCTAATTAATTATAATCTATCTAATCTAATATCAAATTATACTAATTTCAAAAAATCTAATACGTAATCCTATTCTCTAACAGTACAGTTTAGTTCACCAACTAAAATAATCTAATTAGCTAATTAACTTTACATGAATAATTATCAAATACTTACCTCGTTTGTCCAAACAGAGTCGATACGATGTTGGCCATGTCCCCAAAGAAGTGTCGCATCGACCGGACCTGTATCAATTGTCGCCGGCGGTAATCTCATCGAATACGGATCCATAAGCCTAGGAACTGCAAAAACAAAGCAACAAACCATTAAAAAAAACACAAACCATTTAAAAAAACATTCAAGCCGCCGACGAGAGTCTCACCGCGCAAACGGCTGCCACGACCTCGCCGGCCTCTCCCCCTGCCTCTGCCGGCGGCGACTTCTTCTTCATCGAGGACATCTCCGGGCGGCGGCGCTGCTGCTGGCTGCGGCGGCGATGAACTGTGGGCGGCGGCAACACGAACAGGGGCGGCGGTGCCTAGAGCAGAGGCGGCGGCGCTAGCACTGGGGCGCTCTCGCTCTTATCAGTGGCGGCGGTGCCTGGCAGAGCGGCGGCGGGACCTGGCTCTGGGGCGGCGGCGCCTTGTACTGAGGCGGTCTCGTCCTGGTGGCTGTGGGTCTCGACGGCGGAGGAGGTCGGGAGAAGAGAAGTGGGGTGGTGGAAGGGGGAGAGGCTGTCGGGAGAGGGGAAGGAAGGAGGGTCGGCTGTCGGGAGAGGGGAAGGAAGGAGGGAGGGGTTGTGTGGTCCAGGAGGAAGGAAAGAAAGAGATAAGGTTGGGTGGGTGGGGCGGGCGGGTTTTTTAAAATAAAAAGGAGTGGGGTGGCGGCGCCTTAGTCTCGGGCACCGGCACCTAGGCCTGTTAGAATAAAAAGTCTAAGGTGGGGGCGCCTTAGTCTAAGGCGCCAGCACCTAAAACTATGCTAAAAACACATATCTTTGTAAATACTTTTTAATCCGCCATATTGGTGGTAAATTTAAAAAAAAAACAATATTTGTGTCAATAATCCTACTTTATTTAGCTTTAACATGAGGTGGAAAACCTAATAAAACTTATTAAATAAATGAAGTAGCTTAAGAGAAAAGGTAGCAGATGCAGAATTTGATAAACATCGAAACCGTTACCTTTGCTTCACATCTTGCTCTTCCACCGGTACACTACAATCTGTTTTCATGTATAATGTTTCAAACACACATATTATCCATACTACCACATATTTCCGGAGGATTTCGTGCGGCACTGTCTTCGCCCCTTTCCCAGAAACCTAATTATACTTCCCGAACAACCAGAAATTGAACACATCGCCATTATTCTTCCCTACAATTGCATCGATAAATTCCATCTTTGCTGGGTACGCTGGAGAGTCCGGCGGCAATTAGGAGAGGATTTCCACTCGGAAGTCTGCAGGTGAATAATTGCGTCGGGAACGAGAACCAGAGGGAAAAGCGGAGCTCGATTACATCATCGTCTGGTCCCCGACACCGCTGGATTCTTGTTACCAGTCGACGCTCTTGGATTGAATCCGAAGCGGAGTGTCCACTTCCCTTGCAGCAACCCGAATCCGAAGCTCTCTACTGCTCGTTGGCCGGAGCTAGGGTTGTCGCCGGAATCTCCTGCTAGCGCTCCCCTAAAATCAACTATCTCCTTTCTCATCTTGTTGGCTGGGAGGAAGAAGCAGGAACATGTGTTCATGATCGATCATTGTGGCCAGTCCACATGGGAAGACAACTCACAAGCTGGGATTCACCGACATTGATTCTTCATCGTCTCACCACCGGCGTTGACTGAAGACGGAATACATGTTTGTCAAATACGCCTCGCCGCTTGGGGAAGAAGAACAGAAATTCTTGTCGAATTTTTGTAAAAAAAAAGACAAGATAGAGAATAGATTTCTAATTCTAAACACACAATTTGGTTGATTTAGAAAAAGAAGGTATTCAAATTTATATAAATAAAAAGTTATATGATTGATTCAGCAAGATGAATGATAAAAATTTATGGGGTACTAAATCTTACACAACAATTATTTAATGGATGTGATTGTAATTTTAATTATCATTAATAATTAATGTACTCTTAATTAAATTAAATATATTCAATAATTAATTTACAAGTGTGAACATAGGCGTACAACGTACGACCGTCGTACGCTAGCCTTTGCCATATATAATATATAATATATATGGTGGTTTACCCAATGTACGATAGAACCACTCATATATATACCATCAATTAATTGGAATTCGGGACATGATACTATTCCCTTACCTCTAATGGGTGACCGTAGTCTCAATTGTTTAACCCAAATCATAAGATTCATTTAATCTTACAATGAAAACTAACGGTTCTGATTACTCGAAATTATCCAAATATAAATAATAGATGTGAACACAGGCGTATAGCGTACATGAGGCACACGTTGGCCTTTTCCACATATATATGGAA